AGTGATAAGAATAGGAAACATGGTCGTTAAAATGATCAAATAAACTATTCTTGTACACAAACTTTCTCTTGCTAGAGAGACCAAGAAGGACGTCCCACAGAAGGCGATATGACATCTTCAGCATCTTTGCAAATTTTCTTTTCAAAGTATTTTTCAACCAAATCTCGACAATGTGACGTCTGGCTGATGATTATTCAGCATTTACATGTCTGTGTTTTTAATATATATTTATTACAGAGAGATATCATTGTAAGAATGTCAGGTAGAAAATTATTATCGTTATCATTTTCCTCACAGAAACAAAATCTTGAAATTTGTTACTATAATGTGACCCTAATAAGTAATGTAACGCTAACACTGCTGACGATGATCTGACTGTAGCTTACCCTGTTCTTCACACGTGGCCTCTTCCTGCATGGGCAGAGGTAGAGGAGTGAAGTGCAGACAGCAAAGCAACGGAAGGAGAACGCCGCTTCCACAACAGACGTAAAGATGAGCGGCAGCCACAGAATGATGGTGGTCGCCTTGATGAGACAAAGTGCAAAACTGATCACCACACAACAGTTCGAATCAGAAGTGGGGTCACTAGATGAATGTTTATATTAAACTTACGTAGATACGGGTGGGATCAAAGGGGCATTCGTTTGTGATGCTAAAAGAGCTAATATTCTGAACGGTTTCGTTGCATTGTGTCAGCAGGGCCTTTCCTTTGGACATAATGGCTGTAATCACAGAAAGTAACAAGCTCGCGGTGGAGGCAGACGCCAGGAAACCTGCTATGAAACTGAAGACCAGCAGGACACATATCTGCAAAAACAACACGACGAAAACAGAGTTGGTACAATTCGAATGATCTTGAAAGTCAATACTTGGAATGACCACCTTTAAGTACTATTCAGGAAAAGTTCTCCAGGCTTCTTGAACGACATTCAAAGCTTTGTGGGACTGTGGGGAGGCCAAGCCGTGACTCAAAATGTCCCATTGTGTGCTTTTTGCACTGCCAAAACAGCGCTGGGATTATTGTCATGCTAACAAATAAATCAATCAAATGAAGCTGTGGCCAATTAGACACATTCCTGATGGAAAGTGTGTGATGTGTGAAAATCTGATAATAGTTTTCAACATTCATAGATCAGTTTTAACCTTCAACACTGACTGAAATGCAGTTCCAGACCGTGACAGAGCCTCCACCGTGTTTTACATCTCCATGTAACTCCCTCCTTACCTTTTGTGTACTCACTGACGCTAATTTTAACAGAACATTTTCAATTGCTCCACAAGAACTGTTGCCACTGATCTTCAGTCCAGTCGACATTTTTTGTCCCAGTTTCTGATGAGGCCTCAGTAAACAGTAAATGGATCAACTAAAGTGGCAGAGATCTCTGTCTCTGCTCATCTTTCTTAAAGACGTGACTTTCAAATATTG